TCAAAGGCCTTTTCTCACGCATTTGATGTGTATTTCAAAGAACCCAGCAGTCTGGCTGCTTCATGCAAGAGGTTCCTAAATTAGGTTCTTAACATTATTTCTGTTAAGTATAAACTTAACATATACCAGCTGCTGAGGGATTATAGAACTTTGCTTTTTCCCCCAATAATTGGAAACCTTGTTTACAGAAGGCTCAACGATATTCTTTAAATGTCTTTGTGTTGAATGTAAAAGACTATGTGTTTATCTAAGCAACAATAATCTGTCTATAAAGAAACTCATTTAAGGATTATACCTCCTGTCTCTCCCAGTGCATCTGTCACCAGAATGTTCTCCCGGGCTTTGCAAATTGCTGAAAAGTCTTCCTTAAAATTAGCGAAATAAATTGGGGGACAAACCTGCTAGTTTGGGAAGAAATATAATTCTAAATCACAGGAAAAGAATGCAAGACTCAGAATATCAGGCAGTTTTATCAGAGTTCTCGTTGACTAACTGCCTGATAGAAATCAGATTACTGAGGACGGTTTTAAGGTGTTCAGCCCCAGCAAAGAGAAACTCGGGGTCCTCCAGATGAGCAAATTAGCTAAAATGAGGAGTTTGAGGAGCCAACCAAGGCCTTGACATACTTTGTCTTTTCTGGAACAACAGAGAAGCCCTGGGGCCAGGGGTGTCATGCAGAGGCTGGTGTTAGCTCTGAGTCCTCACCTCCTTGTGCAGTAGAGAACTTAAGGAGACAATGCATAGAAAACACAGAGTATGTAGCTATACCCGGCAGTGTAAGACCATTGCCCGGACTGTTCCAAGTCTTGTGGTTTTCATAGGCAATGCCTTATCTGATCACTGAAACTGTCCTATTAAAATAGCATCTCTTGATAGTACCAATATTATTAAAGATTGAAGAAAATGAGATGCAAAAATATTTAATAACCTCTCGAGGGTCATGCTGCAGGTAGCTTCACAGTGAGGAAAGACCTGCATCCATTTTCTTCCCTGTATTGAGCTCTTTGCTCTGTGACACTGACTGTCAGCTACAATGGCTTACTAGCCATTTAGCCATCATCTTTTCTCAGTTCAGAGGTTTTTGGATGCCTGGCACCTTCTAAGATCCTAAGACTTTGTTACTCCTCTTTGAGGTGCAGATTCAAGCTCCGTGGTGAGGGCAAGACTCTTGTCCTGATGACTTGGTAACACCCTTTCTCTAATACTTTGAGTAAGAGCATGCCAGCCTGTGGAAGGTGTCTTCTCCCAAGCTCTGTGTTGTCCTTAGTGGCTTGAGTTTAAACATAAAGGACAATCCTTTGCTCCTAAGGAACTGTAGTTAGTGTTTAATAAGCTTTGGGCACACCAAGGGCACCACCAACTCTGTTGCAATTAGGGAATAATACAGACATTATTCTGTCTCACCTGGTCCCACAGCCATTCAATCCCAAATAAACACACAGAGACTTATATTAATTATAAACTGTTTGGCCTCTTAGCTCAGGCTTATTATTAACTAGCACTTAAAACTTAAATTAACCCATGATTCTTATCTATGTTTAGCTGTGTGGCTTGGTAACCTTTCTCAGTGAGGCATTCTCATCTTACTCCCTCTGTGTCTGGCTGGTGGTGTGTCTCTGCCTTTCCTCTTTCCAGAGTTCTCCTATCTGGTCACCCTGCCTATGCTTCCTGCCTGGCTACTAGCCCATCAGTGTTCTAGCAAACCAATATGAAAGACAAATCTTTACAGTGTACACAGCAGGGTAACACTCGGATATTTGACAACAGAATTCATGGTTTATTTTTATTATATAGGATGAGCTCATACTATATAATATAAATGTATTGTTTATAGTGTATATTGCACATGCCCACAGGAACACATGAAGGACAGAGGAGGACACTGGGTGTCCAGCTCTGTCATTCTCTGCCTTACTCTTTGAGAGAAGGTTAATGACATCTCCAGTCTATTTAGCTCTAAACCTCACAGAGGCATATATATATGCATTCCTCTACTGAGTATTAAACAATTAGAAAATCAGTCCTATAATGCTTTATATTACATAAAAATTCTTATTACGAGCCAGGCAGTGGTGGCGCATGCCTTTAATCCCAGCACTTGGGAGGCAGAGGCAGGCGGATTTCTGGGAGTTCGAGGCCTGCCTGGTCTACGAGAGCTAGTTCCAGGACAGGCACCAAAGCTACAGAGAAACCCTGTCTCGAAAAACCAAGAAATAAAAAAAAATTCTTATTATGGTGCTCAATAGTTATTTAGGAGAATTTTAGTAACATTTAGAAATTTGATGTTTTAGGATGCTTTAGCAATAATTTGATACTTTTTGCCACTTAAGCAGCTTATAGGCTCTCCCTGCCTAACTCATTTTGTAGGATTGCATGAGTCTCAGATGTATAATAGTCCTGCCTGCTTGCTCCACCCAGTTTAGCATGGTGGAGACATGTTCACTGCCTCTGAGTACCATGCACATTGCCCCATTTTCATGCACACAGAGGGTCTGTGTTGTCATCAAACAAGTTGTAGCACTCTGCTTACAAACCCCATTTAAATGCTCCATAGCCAAACCTCCTCAGAGTTTGTACTGGCAGCAGAACCTAGGAAGTGGTTCAAAATCACGTGGCTTTTTTTTCTGCTACTGCTGAATCAGGAAAACCTCTCTTAGAGGAACCACGATGTTAAAGCCAGGCTTAATTCTGTTTCTTTTTTTCTTTTTTGTTCCCTAGAATTTCTTCCCAAATTCTCTCAGGTTTTAAATGGATTTTAGTTGGTCTCTTTGGCACCAATTTGTAGTGAGAGGCTGCTAGTGTGTTCCCAGCCTCCTCTGCTTGTTTGGGCACTAATTTGTTGTATGGAGGCTCTTGTTTAATTCCTGGCATCCCAGACTCCCAAAATAACCACACAGAAACTGTATTAATTAAATCACTGCTTGGCCAATTAAGCATATTGCTAGCTAGGTCTTACATCTAAATTTAACCCATCTCCATTATTTTATATGAGGCTCATGGCCTGCCAGCAAGGTTTCAGAATGTCTGTCTCTGGAGGCAACTCCATGGCTTCTCTCCTGACTCCTCCTCCCTTCTCCCAGCATTCAGTTTAGTTTCCCCCACCTAGTTCTACTCTACCCTATCAGGCCATGCCAGTTTCTTTATTAACCAATGGTATTCACAGCATACAGAGGGGAATCCCACATCAAATGCTAAGTCCTAAACCTAATGCATGTGCTGTGTGTTTTCTTAAGTGATGAGTGAACTGAAGTGATTGTTGTCTTATTAAGAATCAAATAGATTTAACAGTTATTGATCTCTTGCCTACATTCCAGGAGTTTGGAGTTACCTTTACCTACGGTGCTGTCCACATGGGAAGATTGATTAGTTATTCATCTCCTGAGGGAGAACTGAGGGGAAGGAATGGAGCAGGGTTCAGAGCTACCCTCAGATTTTATATCTTGTGTCACACATTAGCCACAAAGATAGGAGTGAAAACTTTTCTTTCTAGAGAATGAACCACTTCTAATTTGGGGATATTACACCTCCAAGAATGGAAAGAGATTTTGCCATCATGCATTGCCTACACTCATTAGTTTTTCTAGATCTAAATTGTCACTGTGGCACACTGATGTGGCAATTGAATATCTATCAGTAGTATGACGTAAATAAGAACTTCAAAAGCCGACAGAGTGATAGCAGTGACAATGTTCAGCTCATACTTTAAAGGTTACTGATGTGTGACATCTGAGCAGAGCGTTTCTAGAAAAGACACCTGCTGAGAAGGGGCCTCTTCACACACTCCACTTTGGTGATTATATCATTTAAACATTTCTGCACAAAAACATAGAGCAGACATCACACCTCAAAGATCAAGAGTTAAAGCAGCCTTTTGGCTGAGTGCTTTTCAGGTGTGAGATACACGGAAGAGAGAACGCGCGTTTAGAAGTGTCTAGTTGATTAGCTGTGTGCAAGCTGGATTTGTCTCAGGTACATTGTAAGGTGATGTTCTGGATCCTTCTTCTGAACTTTCCTCATGGCCTCTAACATCCTACGGCCCCTGCTGGATATAAAGGAATTGGAGGTATACCAGGAACCTGCCTGATACTGGAAATTCAACCATTGTGCCTATCTGTGAGCCTTGTTGGTAGAACAGTCAATTTGGCTGTAGACAGTTCTGAATATAGGCAGACAGAAAAATCTGCCAGGCTCATCTCCGACACCAGTGAACAGACACGCATTTACTCCCAAATGTTCAGCCATCGATAAGACTTCTAGCTTCGCATGGTTCATCTGTATTTGGACCAAGCAGGACCAAGAGCCAAATGTGAAAATCTGTGCTCATTTCTTACCAAGCCAATACTGGGAGCAGCAGAAAGCAAAGTTCTTGTGTGGCAGATGACATGTGTGAGCAAAGAGGGTGCAGTCATCTCAGTCTTGCCCTCCGTGGGCTATTGCCTCTGGTACCAAATGAACTGGGGCCCATCACTAGGCATTTGTTGAAAATAATAAAGAATGCTAGAATCCCAATTTTATGTGAGAAGGAACCAAATGATATTTGCTTTATGTTTTTTCCAGGTGCAAACCCTTGTTTATTTATAAGTACAAAACAAAACAATTAAATGAAGATTGAAATAAATGCTTATGTTTTATCCGTGCTAGAGGTATCTGTCTTGTCTTTTAGAGTGAAGTTAAAATATCTTTATAAGTCCCTTACGGCTATAGTGAGCAACACTTTGTTTCCTTTGGGGGAAACTGTTATCTTTTCTGAAAATTCTTTATTCGGTTCATTTGGTTTGGATGGGAAATGAGTCTAATGAATATAAAAATGTAATAATTCTGGATTGTTCCTATCCATTAGGATGTGTTGATTAATTCCAAAGTTTCATGGATCTCTGGTTTGGTGAATGAATCTATAATAAAATTACAACCAGGACACTAGCTATTTATCTGAATCACATTTTTATCTAGCTGATTTGAATTTAAATGCATTGTTAACATTTTCCTTCTTTTTAATACAGGTGGAAAACAGACCAAAATATTATGGAAGAGAGTACGTATTATACTATTTCGTGTTTTAATAATGTAATAAGCAGTCGTTTCATATGTCATTCTAATATTAACTATTAAATATTCCTTAACGTGGTCTTCATCACATGCCCATTGTGTAAGAGTTTAGTAAGAAGAATAAATGTAATCAGACACCTTTGTATTGAATTTTTCTTCCCACCTCCGGGTGTCTGGTTTCCACTACGGTAGTGAAGTGGGGGAGTCCTGTGTTGCAGGTCCTCTCCTGAGAGCCAGCTTCCGGGTGCCTGGCCAGTGTTCAAATGGAAGTCTCGCCATCAGCATCTTATTTATTGTCTACCCTGATGCAATCAAAGCCTTGGATGCCCGTACCCCTACACTACACCTGAATTCCTGGCATGAGCGTCATAGCACAGTGGTCAGGAAAAGCATCTTGTTTCTCCTGCAGTGTCAGAAAACCAAAAGGGTCATTCTCTAGACTTGATTGCATCAGCCAGACTGCAGCTAAACTCCCCTTCCACGCAGCCACATTCTGTAACCCCAGCTCCAGCTTTGCTTGGCCTCCTTAGGAGACTAGCACAAGGCAAACACCATGAGTAGGAAAGGCATTTGCAGTCTGAGGCTGTGAGATATAGGACACCTTAGAGAGCAAGGGCCGTGGAATGGCCCGAGGAGGGAAAGGTACCTAAGTCACCTCTCTTCCTAACGTCAACCTAGAGGCACAATGAGACCAAACCTCTTTCAAATCTACCTCCTTTGCTCTCTCAGCCAGTCCAAGACCGTCCCCCTCATCCTCATATCCAGAAGAACCTCAGCTTCATGGCTAGCGGACCGTTTGGTCATCCTAGCCCAGAGCTCCTTCCCAGTGGACACAGCTGCATCCCAGACCCTTTCCTATCAGGATCTGAGCCTCCAGCCAGCTCCTCTCAAGGACCCACGCAGGAATGCAGGCTTCCCCTCTCACCCACCCTCCTACCACCCTACTACTCCCCTACCCTCTGCCTCTGACAGCTAGACTGTGTTGTCTCCTGGATCTGATTTGGGGGAGGGTTACTTGAAAACTGCACAATTTTTTTTTTAAAAAGAGAACAAACAGGAAAAGCTACCACATACAATTTTGTGCCTGAATCTCACAGGTACATTTTTTATTAAATGTTTTTTTACACAAAAGTTTTGATTGAATAATCTTTTCTATTTTCTCCTCCAACCTGCCAAATCCTGCGAGCAAAGAAGACAGAAAAGCAAGGAAGTGTTTTCTTAATCACAAAAGAATATTTTATACTAGAGGAGGATTGATGTAAACCTTGCAAGGTTCGGCTCCTCTTGCTTTAAAAAAATGAAGTTCTCTTTCCTGTCTACTCAGAAAGCATTGCAGGTGCCCCTGAGGAAGCATGTGTGTGTGCTGGTCAGGCAGGAAGCCCAGGGTGGGTAACAGTGGAGGTCTCTGGGGAGGCAGAATACTTGTTTCTACGTTGTTTAAACTTGCACATCCTTTGTACCTGTACCGCCAACATTTCAATCCTGAATGTCCCCACTGTGAGCTCCCACTTCCTTTCTTATTTTTAATTTTTAAGAGTGTGTGTGGTTTGTCCACATAGATGTCCGTGTATCAAGTGTGTGCTTGGTGCCCGCCCAGGCCAGAAGAGGGCATCCGATGCCCTGGCACTGGAGGTGCAGAGTGAGCTGCCATGTGGGTGCTGGGTCCTGTGAGAGAGCAGCAAGTGCTCTTAACTGCTGAGCCATGTCTCCAGCCCCTGCCATTTTCAGTTTTAATACTTTGTGCCTTGGGAAAATAAAACAGAAAAATAGATGGTGGGAAACACCCCCAACTCTCCCCATTGAAAGAGAACCATTGTTGCCTTTTTCCCTTTATCCGGATATTCTGAATTGTTAAACTGTGCGTAAAGTCACAGAGTGTTTTCAGCCACACACAACTGTGTCTTCCTTCTTTTGGACCCTTGGACTTGATTCTTTACACCCACCTGTCTCTCTGGCCATCTCTTCAATTTCTTGAGCAGGACAGGGTGCCAGGTCCCTATGCCCTCTATCATGAGCCTCTTTAGCCCATTTAGCCTCTTCTGACCTACTGCGGCACCTGCTGGCATATTCTAGGCACTCTGTCCTCATACCTCCTCTGGAGCTCTTCATCAAGGCCACCTCCTGCCAGGGCTGCTCTTACATCTCAGCACTCGTCCCCAGTGTTCCCCGAAAGCACTGCTCTGAGCACTGGGTCCTGAGATTTAAAACCGAAACTTGGCAGAGCATAAACCTCTTTCTCCACAGGCTATTGTTGACTTCACCTAAGAGCTGAGCTTTTAGTACAGGACCATTGATGCTTCTGCGTCTTTCCTCCATGCCCCCCCCCCCCGTACCGCGCAGACCAGAACATCAACTGGAATAGACCAGTATTGAAAAAAAAGAAGTATTAAAAAAGAAAATTAGGAACACATACACTCATACTTCTTCATTGACAAACATGCATGCATGCACGCACACACAGACACAGACACACACACTTCCATATACACATATGCGTACACACCTCCATCACATTTGTGCTTCATACTAGGCTTTGTGTTCTTAGTGGAAGGGGGAGGGGAAACAAAGGTTACATTTTTATAAAATTCTTTATATGATTTCCCCCCCCCCAAAGTTTCCTTACCACTAGGTAATTCTAGAAAGAGGTGTTTATCCCTCTCCCAAGAGTTTAGAGTCCCTGGGCACTGGCCTCTTTCCATACTCAAGGTCTCTTCATCTTAGATAAACGAAGGTTAGAATTGCTAGTGATAACAGAAAAACAAGGGAAAAGATGGGTGTGGGAGTACCCTCAGGAGAAGGCACAGGCAGGGGGATCTCTGTGAGTTTGATGCCAGCCTGTTCTACAAAGTGAGTTCCAACACAACTAGGGCTACACATTAGAGAGACTGTCTCAAAGCAAGCAAAGAAGCAAAAATCCAACCCAAAGAATTGCTAGCGATGGCTGTGAGCTTTCGTCTTTACTTAAAAGTAGGAAAATTGGGTCCACCTAGCTACCTGCCTTCAACCCAGTCACTGTCTAAACTCTACGCCTCAGACAACTGCCTTTAGGAGGCCAGTACAGTCTTTGTCAAGGCAGAAGTCCCCCACATTGTGTGTGTTTGTGTGTATGTGTGTGCGCGCGTGTGGACATGCATTCATTCTGTAGTGGACAAAGAGAAGACACCAGTATCATTAGAACAGAAAAGTAGGTTCTTCTTCCAAGCACCCACCTAAGCAATTACTCTCAAATGGAAAAGACTGGGAGAACATGGCTTCTAGCCAGCCCTTCTTTCCAGAGAATGAGCCCCTAAAATGAATGATGCCCAGCACCAGAAGCAAGCAGGTTGCTAATCAATAAGTGTTCATTTGCAATCAGGATAATCCATGGTTCTCTGTGTTTGCGCTGAAAGCTAAATTGGTAATTGCTCTTTTGTTATTTCCCATGGTTTGAAAGGAGCTGTAACCTAGCTTCCATTTCGATTTCCATTTTCAGCCCGAGAGCAAAGGCAGGTGGACTATGTGTTTTCCTGTGTTTGCGACTCTTTGGAGAAATGAGGGAGGTTGTCCCAAGAGGGCCTTCAAAGTATGACATTGGCACATTGTCTTCATTCCATGGGAGACAGTGGGTGCCTAGGGACCTAGCCACCATCGGTTTTAGCCTGGTCCTTATAGGACATAGTACATGGTCTGTTCAGAGCGCTGATTGCCTTGTCCCTCCAGGTTTCATGGGATCATCTCCCGAGAACAAGCTGACGAGCTTCTTGGAGGCGTGGAGGGTGCCTACATCCTTCGAGAAAGCCAGCGGCAGCCGGGATGTTACACGCTAGCACTAAGGTGAGCTGTGTTTCACTCACTGATCATGAAAGTGACCTGTATGATTTTTCCAATTTTTAAGAACTATATATGCTCCAGGGACAGACCTGACTCGGATGGCAAACCAATAGAGACAGATACATGGAAAAGCTGACAGCAGGTATATTGAGCTACCTGGTGGAGAAACTGTAGCCCCCCAGGAGAGCGGCACATTTATAATATAGTGTTGACTAGGGAGATGGGGTTATTGCATACAACCAAACAAGGAGGCAGGGTTTATGGTATACAACTAAATACAGAGCGGGGTTAGTTTGTCTCAGTAGGAACAGTCTCTGTACTGGAGCAGTCTTCAGGTTGTAAACATCCAGGGAGAGAAAGTGATGGTGGACATTTTCTGGGCACAGTATTCAAGCTTAGACCCAAGGAAGATTTTTCTGTTGCCCTTTGAGCCTCCCTGGGACTAGGGGGAATTTGCCATTTTCCCCATAAGTGTGAGGCTATGGGGTCCTTGACATGGCTGTGCCCATGTCAACAACATACATACACTCAGGATTTCACACATGCAGGGTTTCTCCAATTCCCTACAACAGTGAGATGCACATACTTAAAACTGACCATCTCCACCAGTTTAAGTGTACAGTACATGGGCATCAGACACACCAGCTGTGCTTTACAGTCACTGTCGCTGGTCACCTCCAGAACCTGCCCCTCATCACAGACGCTCAATGTCTGCCATCACTCCACCTCCAGAACCTGGCCCTCACCCCAGATGCTCAGTCTCCACAGTCTGTCACTCCTGCTCAGGTTACTTTGCATCCCACTGTCTCCAAATACCAGCTGTGGGGGACATAGGTGATGGGTCTCTACCTGGCTACAGACATGCAGCAAACCGCGAGTTCTCAGGGACCACCATGACCCCAGACTCACCACGATGACTCTGTTATGCATGCCAGCAAGCCAACAGGGCAGGCTCCTCCTGAGCTTGGCCAACACCACAATTGCTGACACTCGGGTGTCGTTTGTGTCCCTCAGGAGGTTTCCTCCTCACACAGTCCTCCTGAGGACTCTTGGAAATTGACTAGAGCTTTCTCCACAGAAAGAATGGATGGACTGTGACAGAAAGCCATCCCAGGCCGGCCCGTGCAGGGTGTGTTTCATACGGTCTCTATAGTGTAACCCCACCAAGAGGCTTTGCCAGCTGCCGCTGGAGACATCCACAGCATGTCTTCAGTGACTCAGTGATGAGAGAGTCATTATTTCATTATTTCAAAAGCTCTCAAGAACTCTGTGCAGGCAGAGAGTTCTCCTGTCTCCTCATATCCCATAGTGGGCACAGGGAGTCATGCAGGTAAGACTGGGGGGTGCCAGTCTTAGTGGTACACTCAGCACCAAGCTGAGGTTTCTCTTCGGTTGCACTAACTGGGATGGTAGAGGTGGGGTAGCAGTCAAAGATGTGAGTGCAGAGGTGGTATCCCTTGCAGAGGTAATCACTGCTTGCCATTAAAGAGGCTTTTAGATGAAGTATTTGTAAAGCAGGACTTTGAAGTTAACCAATGAGGATGGGATGACACAATGTCCTAAGTGACTGACAGGATGGGATGTTCCCAAATGTGTCCCTGAGGTTAGATCGTGTCTGCTTCAGTTCAGGCCCATAGGCCCTAGCAGGGAGCACCAGCTCTTTATGACTTGGTTGCTTGTACTGTGAAATATGAATAATAATAGTACCCATCTCAAAGGTCCTCTGAGATTATTAGATGCAGGCACCCGCTCCAGGCCAGGCATTTGGGGGCATGCTGGAAGCTGCTGTCATTTCCCAGTGCTTCTTGGACCTGTTGTAACCCTTTGTTTTCTGGCTGGCAGGTTTGGGAACCAGACCTTAAACTACCGGCTCTTCCATGATGGGAAGCACTTTGTGGGTGAGAAGAGGTTCGAATCCATCCATGACCTGGTGACCGATGGCTTGATCACACTCTACATAGAGACCAAGGCTGCTGAGTACATTGCAAAAATGACCACAAATCCTATCTATGAACACATTGGATACGCCACTCTCCTCAGAGAAAAAGTGTCCAGAAGGCTAAGCAGGTCTAAAAACGAATCGAGGAAAGCAAATGTCGCCAATGAGGAACACGCGTCAGTAGAGAAGGTGAGCAGCCTATGGCATGGACCTAGGCCATCTCGCGTTGGTTTGTGCTGAATGAGATGGGTCATGATAGATGCAACTTGCCAAAATGTGGAGGCGACTCCTCCCCATTTTAGACCTGGAGGGTGCCAAAAGCTCCTTAGACTTTTCCAGGTCAACCCCTTCTTCAGCTCCATGAGAGAAACTCAAGACCCACAAATATTCTATGATTTGCCTATGGTCAGAACCAGGACTTAGACAAATAGTCATTTGTGGGGTTTAGTTGGAAAGAAGAAAAACACTCCATTATTGTTGAATGCCAGACAGTGGGTGAAAGATGTTTTAAATGCCACTTGAGGCCTGCTTGCCATCTCAGGCCACAAAGCAGGTCAAATGCCTGGTATTTATGTTTGTCTAGCCTAGGGATGTGTGAACAAGCATGGGCAGGAGGCTTGCCAGTCACCTTTTGAAGCTGGGTTAACCTAGGTGAAGAATTACTGACAGACATGGAAGCCTTCGTCATCATGACTGAGGTCTCTGGGAGGCTTAGTCAGGCTGACCTTCCCCCCAGGAAAGTCACAGCACTCCACTGCTATCAGAAAAGCCCTGAGCTGGATGAGTGTGCAAGTTGTCTGGGTTGTGGTGGTTGCAGGATATGGAGAAGGGGACACCATTTTCCTCTCCAGTAACCTGCTGCTTATTTGAAAGGTGCCACCACAGCTGCCCAGCAGACTTTGGGGATGTGCCCCTTCAGTGACCATCTGCTTTGCCTGGTCATATTTATTCCCCACTGAGAGTGACAGCCTGCCACATAATCGGCAGCCATGGTGGCTAAGCCAAGCCCAGCTTCTAGGGTGGATCAGGGCTTGGTCAGCGAGGGATACGGGAGGGCAAGATGGGATGCTGCTGCTTTGGGTGGCTGTTAATCTGTAATTAAACTCAGGTGAGCACCTGGTGCCAGGACTGGTGGGAACCACTGGAGGCTTCGGTTGAGTTGAAGGCCTGGCCATCAGTGAGGGAACCTCACCAAGCTCTGGGAGAAAACAGCCAGTCTGTTGGCAGCCAGGGTGTGATGGTAATTGATTTGCTAATTGAGTCTCAGAGCAAAGGAGAGTGCTCCCCAGCCTCATATCATTTGAGCAGCTGGCCCATGAAAACACCATTTGCCCTTTTATTTTTAAAACTCTAATGTCTCCCCAACACCTGTGTAGTCTTCTGCAAATAATTGGCTTGGGAAATTTGGGGACTGCTGACTGTTTACATTTTAATAGACTAGTGGAGGAGGGAGGGAGGGAGGGAGGGGGGATAGGTGGGAAGGAGGGAGGAAGGGAGAGAGAGAGAGAGAGAGAGAGAGAGAGAGAGAGAGAGAGAGAGAGAGACCCAACTTTCAGAGTTTGTTCTGGTCCAGAGGAAAGCTAGTCCTTAGTCTGTTTGTAAAATCTGTTCAGAAGCAATTTAGAATAGAAAATCTGGAAGCTGACCTCCTCACCCACGATAAATCAGAAGATGAATTGTAAAGTGAGTCTCCGAAGTGGTGTTTATATTTCTGAATTGGAGAGCAGTGATGCTGAAAATGCAGTCTGTTACAGAAAACAGGTCCCACAATGGAAACCAGCAAGGAAGTTCCGTCGACAAAAGCTCTATTTCTGGGCGTTATTTTCAGCAGAAAACTGGTGTGACAGGCCGTGCCCTCTGTCTTAGTTAGGGTTTATATTACTGCTATAAAACACCATGACAAAAAAGCAAATTGGAAAGGAAAGGGTTTATTTGACTTCCACTTCCACATTGCTTTTCATTGTCCAAGGAAGTGAGGACAGGCACTCAAACAGGGCAGGAACCTGAAGGCAGGAGCTGATGCAGAGGCCATGGAGGCGTGCTGCTTACTGGATTGCTCCAAGTGGCTTGCTCCGCCTTCTTTCTTACAGGACCAGGGACCACCAGCCCAGGAATGGTACCAACCACCATGGGCTGGGCCCTCCCACATCAATCACTAATTAAGAAAATACTCTATAGGTTGACCCACAGCCTGATTTTCTGGAGGCAATTTCTCAATCAAGGTTTGCTCATCTCAGGTAACTATAGTTTGTCGAGTTGACATAAATCTAGCCAGCACACTTTCCCTCAGACTCTAGGGCCTAAGAAAATGAGTAATCTAATTAATAATCAGATTGAGTGAGCCAGCCAGTAGTCCTTTACTTTAGGGAGGTGGCTGGTGAGGAAGGAAAGTGGATGTTCAAAGAAGTCCATACTCAGTAAGAGATGTGATGGACAGTTGTCAACAGTGTGCATTTTTTGGGACACTAATTATGTGGTTGGCTTTCTTGGAAATACTCTGGACAGTAGGTCCGGTCACTTGCTGCTGGCCGCTCAGCTTGCTAGTAGCTTGTGACCCAACTTGATAAGAATCTATCTAACCTTTTCTCCTTGACCTGTATTGACGAGCATCCTGTTGCCCCTTCAGGGCAGGGCCCGGGCCTGTTGCCATGGCGGCAGGGACTGTAGAAGAGCTGGTGGGACCTTGAGTGGATTGACTGAGTGGAGCCTGAGGTACTCGTCTGCTTCAGTTAATGGCATGCCTTAAAGGTTTTTAATGAATGGGATGAATTGACTTCCCGGCCTTGCTCAAATCCAGCATGCCCATTCCACAGTGCTCAAATGCTCCTCACCCGTTTATTTTATTGATTTTTTTCCCAAGTAAATCTAGAAAAGATCATGCTGTTGGCAGATCCAAAAGTATTAACAGTGCTAATTGGAAAAATGAGATACATTACCTCTGCCATCAGATTTGAGTGGTGTCCAGATTTACTTCCTGTCCAGGTTGTTAGCAATGGATCTGACTTTAGTAACTGCAGATGCGGTGGGGGGGGGGAGCCCGCAGAGGGAATAAAGCTGTAAGGGTTCACCCCCCTGCAAGCAGGTAAACACTATGATTCTGTATTTAAACATCACGATTCTTCTAAAACGTGGTTTATTTTGCCCCCCCCTTCAGTGCATTTAACTAACATAGTCAGCCTAGTGCAATCGCTCATGTGAGATGTATTTTAGAATTTATACCACACGTAGATTATCTACTGGTCTTTAGAAAAGTGGTGTGATGGGCGGTTTATGAATAACACTGGGATTCTGCACCCAGATTGCACACACGTGAGACGGTTTCCCACTTGAGACTGAGCAGCTTTGCCAGATTCACAGGCTGGGTTCTCGGTGCCTGCCTCATTCCAGTTGCACCGTGCACAGTGGCAGGATGAAGAGGTGAGCGCAGGCTTCCCCAGCCCACACTCAGGGCGTTGCAATTCTGCGGAGCAACTGGACCTCATCACATCCCTTTGCCCTTATTGCTCTAAGCAACCCCTTGGATTTGTCCCCCATCCTCTCCGTGGATGCTAAAGACCACTCAGTCTCTCCATGGCCTGATTTTGAGAACACTTTACTGTTTCTAGCTATAAGGACCAACCCTTCTCCCCAGATGCCTCCCACCGAATCAAATAAATAACATGGCAAGCGTGTGTGTATTAACGGGAGATAGACGGATGGAGCAAACGGCACCTGCATTTGACGGGGGAAGACAGTGCGTACCCATGAGGCAGGAGAAGCACTTTTAATAATGTACAGGTTGAATATCGTCTACCCAAGATGTTTGCAGCAGTTTTCATCTCTAATCCAAAAACCTGAAACAAAGCACTCCCGAATTCAAAGTCTTGGATCCAGGGTGCAAAGCCGGGGTCCTATTGTTTTTGTTCCCTCGCTGTTGTGGGAGCGCTTAGCTCCACTGACGTCACGCTCATCCCTGTCCGTGTTCCTTTCATGGTATTCAGCACTATGCTTACTTGTTCAGTTCACCGCTCTCGGATGGTCAGCCCCAGTTATGTCCGGTTCATTCGTTTCACCGCTTCTGGTGGTAGTAAATGTCAGAAAACAACCTTCGTGAATCCCAGGGCAGCCACACCATATCCGGCATGGCAGGCGGCCCCAGGACGAGGAGAGCCAATGCAGAGAAGGGAAGTGCAGCTTGTGTCCTTCATGTTTCATTTGTGTAAATTAGGAAACACTGATCTTTACATGTTTATTTCTTGTCAAATCATAAAGCTGAAAGAATGGACTTCATTGACTTTTGGAGGGGAAGCAGGTGTCGCTGAAAGAGTTAAGTGTGGGAAGAGAGTTTTCCTTTCCTTGCTCCTGTTTGAAGCCCTTTGACCTTTGAACCATTGCATGTGCAATATCCATTCAAAGACTGAAACAAGAATAAAAAGCTCACCGTGTCTTAGGTACACTCGTCACATTAAAGCCAGGGAAAGCTCTCTCTGTCCTGGCTGCTGCACTTGCTGAGCTGATCCAATTCCCTGCCTTCCAACTCTCCCTCTTGCTCACAGAACCCCTCTACTAACCCCTCCTCCTGCACACAGTACCCCTTCTCCCCCACCCTTCCCTCCTGCTCACAGTACCCCCTCCTCTCTTACCCCTCCCTCCTGCTCACAGTCCCCCGTCCCTCCCCTCCCCCCCCCCCACGCCGCACTCCCCTCCCTTCCCCCCCCCCCCCCCCCCCCCCCCCCCCCCCCCCCCCCCCCCCCTCCTCCCCATCCCTCCCTCCTGCTCACAGTACCCTCCTCCCCACCCCCTCCCTCCTGCTCACAGTACCCCTCTTCTCTCATCCCCTTCCTCCAGATTGTTCGTACAGGACTTTGTGCTCTCAGTACTTCTAGAAGGTTTGGAACTGGAAGAGGGTCATTGCAGCACCAGGCAGAAAAGACCACAGAGTGGGGAACAGCATCCTGAAGATGGGGATGAGTTTGCCCTTGCCTTCCTGGTACTCCTACCACATCCCCAGAGACTCCCAGCCCCCTGCGCACTTCCGTCCCCTCTCCCTGACCGCTCAGTGGTTCCCAACCTTCCTAATGATGCGACCCTTTACTACAGTTGCAGTGACCCCAACCATAGAATTATTTTCTTCGCTACTTCATAACTGAAATTCTGTTACCACTATGAATTGTAATGTAAATATCTGATATGCAAAACATATGCTAAAC